TCATTTTGCCTCCGAGAAATGAGCAAAAACGGGACGGAAAACATGAAATTTTGGCATAATCTTGCACCTAAGTGTCTGATATTCAAATTTCGCTTACTGGGTCAAAACTACTCCAACTTCCTCACTCTCGTTGTTACGATGGACTCGACTTTTCAATTGTCTATCCAACGATGCCAAAACAAATTCTGTGGCTCGAATGGTTCTTTAGAAACTTCGAATAAAGGCCATTTAGTTATCTCTGGAAATCATGCCAGAGTCAGCGTAAAAACAAGCGTTCTTGCTTATTTTGCCTGCGAGAAATGAGTAAAAACGGGACGGAAAACATGAAATTTTGCAATAATCTTGCTTCACCCTTGCACAAAACGACGATGATTTTTCTAATTTCATAAACAACAGAAGACTTAATTTTTTCTATATAACCCCCCCTGACTTTAAAGCTGGATCCGCCCCTGTGTAGCAGTTCCGGATATATTAATACATTTATATGGTTTCTGATAAAACTATATCATCCCGTACAACGAGCAAAAGTAATCAAATAAGGGATAATCTTTAGATAAATTGACATAAAAACTGAGAAAATTAGCAAAGCAGGCTCCATTTGTTGCAGGCAAGTTCAAAGAGAGACAACAATCGATCAAAGCCAGTCCACTATTTTCGTTTGCAAAACAGGCACTTTTCAAGTAAAAGCTGCAGGCTTAACTAATAAAACCATCTAAAATGTTTTTTAGCGAGAATCGGCACAAAGTAACTGTTTGTCAGGAAAAGGGGCCCTGAGAGCTGGTGCCAAAGTGAATAACGGCCGATCCAAGTTGTGCGATACGTGCTCACTTTAATATCGGCCGACATCCCTAATTCGCTCTAATTGACTCAATCATCAATTATCAAGTCATCTTATACGGCACTTAGAAACTGGATGTTGTGCGCCCTTTCAGGGGCGGTGCTTCGCTGTCCGCTCAGACAGCGGTTCGCCAGTTATCCGGCGGACTGCGGAGAACAAAGTTACGCGCCTCTAGTGCGAAAGCTCTCGACACAGTCGCGCCGATCTTTCGTCTTCTTCGAGCAATGGTCCATTGAGGCCGACGTGTCCATTCGATCCAATAGCGAAAATGGCTTTTCACAGGCACAACATTGCAATCCTGATCGGTTTGATTGGTGTGGCCTCTGTTCGGTGTGTGAACGAGAATTTTTTGAAAATGTTCGAGGGCCAGCAGACTCCGGTCGACCCATGCTACGACGAGGACCGGCCTCGCAAGTGCATTCCGGACTTTGTCAATGCGGCCTTTGGGGAGCATGTGAAAGCGTCCAGCACTTGCGGCATGCACGCCCCCGTGCATTATTGCGAGGCACCGGAGCCGGGCGCCAGCCCCCAGTGCCACATTTGCGATGACCATCAACCCCGTACCCGATTCCCTCCGGTCCATCTCACCGACTTGAACAACCCCAACAACGTCACCTGTTGGAGGAGCGAGCCGCTTCCTCCGGTCACCTCCATCGATGCCGCTCCGGACAATGTGACGCTGACGTTGAGCCTGGGGAAGAAATACGAGCTGACTTACATCAGCCTGCAGTTCTGCCCCGAGACGCCCAAGCCGGACTCAATCGCGATCTACAAGAGCATGGATTACGCGAAAACTTGGCAGCCCTTCCAGTTTTACTCCAGTCAATGCCGGCGGGTGTATGGGAGGCCCAACAGGGCCACCATAACGAAATCCAATGAGCAGGAGGCCAAATGCACCGACGCTCACCGCTATACGGGAGGAGACTCGTTTGGCTTCGGCCAAACCTCCAGAATAGCCTTCAGCACTTTGGAGGGCCGTCCGAGCGCGCTGGATTTCGACAACTCCTTGGTGCTGCAAGACTGGGTGACCGCAACCGACGTCAAAGTGGTGTTCAATCGGCTTCACATGCCCGTCGAGGACCTCTCCGACAACCTGGACCTGTTGGTCGACGAAAACATGTACAACAAGCAACGTTTCGACGAGGAGAATCTAACGCGCGAACCTTCGGTTCAGCTGGTGAACGAAATGCAGGCGGCCGATAATGAAGCCACCCCAGCCAACAATAAGGCCTCCGTATCGGGGGAGGTGACCTCCAATGGTATTCATCGCTACCACCAGGTGACCCACCAATATGCAGTGGCGGATTTCGCGGTCGGAGGACGATGCAAGTGCAACGGTCACGCAAGTCGGTGCGTGACCGGCGATGATGGAAAATTGGCCTGTGAATGCAAACATAATACGGCTGGACGGGATTGCGAACGCTGCAAACCCTTCCATTTCGATCGGCCTTGGGGTAGGGCCACTGTCAGAGATGCCAACGAATGCAAAGGTATTTCGCTTCCAGTTTTACCTAGAAAGTAGTGAATTTTTCGACGTTTTTTATTGGAGAATTCGTTATCAATGAGCGCTGGGAGAAGCTCAACTTGTTACCTGTTGAGTTTTACGGCAATATTGAAGGGAGGGATTTTATCAAAGAAAAATGAAGGGCTCGGCACAACTTGAACATTCACTATACTCTAATGTATTTGTTGTGCCGAGCCCTTCGGGCACGACACTGGTTTTATGCGAAAAACAATCCCAACATCAGACAGTTTTCGTATTTATTTTCCTGACTGCGTGTACTTGTTATGATGTTCTTATCTTTCCTGGGTCTCAGTCAAAGTGTGAAGTAAAAATTTTGAACATCGTTTATTTCATTAAGTTTCGGCGAGACAACAGCGCCATCATCAGATTTTAAATTTACACAAACTCATGATTGGTAAAAATCAACGTTCTTTTAGGTCTTTGCCTTCTTGAAACCTTAAATTTGTCTTTTTAGAGACTTGCGTGTCGAACACTGCCATCATTTTCCCAGCGATGCTTTACCCTATAAATAAGCCATTTAGTCGCCTATCTAGTGGTAAAGAAATTCTGGTTTAAACTGTTCCTGAGAAATGCGCAAAAAGGTGGCAGAAAACTTGAAATTTTGGGCTCAATCTTGCACCTCAATGAGTCGTATTCAAATTTCACTTTTGTCTGAAAACGTTCACTGTTTCTTCTCTCGCGTTCTTATTACTAAATCGGGTTTATAATTCTCTTTCCAATGGTGGGAAAATGTACTTTGAGGCCCAAATGGTTCTTCACCTAAATGTGTCGCATTCAAATTTCGATTTTTATCTGAAAACTGTCTCTTTTTCTTCTCTCACGTTCCTCTTACTAAATCGGGTTTATAATTCTCTTTCCCATGGAAGGAAAAGGTGCTTTGGGGGCCAAATGGTTCTTGAGATGCGCCTAAAAAAGACCTCGTTCGATTTCGCATTTTACAAGACAACCGCGCAAAAATATGAGTTGTTCAAATTTTGTCTTTTTGTGTGAAAACTGCCAACATTTTCCAAGCGATGCTTTACCCTATAAATGGGCCATTTAGTCCTCTATCTAGTGGTAAAAAAATGAGTGTTCTGGTTTAAACTTTTTCCGAGAAATGAACAAAATAATGGCAGAAAACTTGAAATTTCTGGGATTCTAGAAAGTAGTGTTTTTGGACGACGTTTTTTATTGGCGAATTCGTTATCAATGAGCGCTGATGCAAGCTCAACTTGTTACCTATTGGATTTTATACAGGGTGTTTAGAAATGTGCGGCAATATTGAAGGGAGCGATTTTGCCAAACAAAAATTAATGCAAGGATGAAAATGCATTATTTGTTTGTGAAATATGCTGATTCGACATGAACAAGAACCCCAAAATAGAGCGAGTTGGAAAGGTTTTTTCCATTCATTCACTTCACTCTAATGTATTTGTTTGTTGCTCGAGCACGACACTTTTCAATACGAAAAAACCTGTCTGATTTTGATATTGTTTTTCGTATCAAACCAGTGTCGTCCCTGAAGGGCTCGGCGCAACTTGGACATTCACTATACTCTAATGTATTTGTTGTGCCGAGCCCTTCGGGCACGACACTGGTATGATACGAAAATACAATCTCAACATCAGACAGTTTGGAAGGTTGTATTCAAATTACTCTCGCTCCCGAAGGACTCAGCACAACTTTAACATCCAATTTACTTTGATTTATTTTCCAGACTGCGTGTAATTGTTATTATATTTTTTTCTATCCTGGGTTTCAGACAAAATGTGAAACAAAAATGTTTATATCGAATTACATTTCGACGAGACAACAGCGCCATCATCAGATTAAAATTTCAAACAAACCACAAACACCAATTTACAATTAAAATATGTTGCACAAAAACTCTAGTATACAAAGCATTAAAATATCAGTTAGTTCTTAAGGAGAAAAGATTCTTTGGGAGAGCAAAAGCCAAGCATATAAAGAATCAAATGTGCCCAATTATGGGGTAAGTTTTTCAAATGTTTTGCTCACCCAAAGAATATTTTTTACTTAAGAACTAATTGACATTTTAATTTTGGTCTCAATTTCGCTTATGCTTCGCAAAATGACCTATTTCAAAAATTTTCTACATAATTCATCTGTAGTCAATAACACAAAATTTTGGACTAAAAATGAACCCCACAATTTTTTTTGGATATTTACCTCCTAAATCCAGTGGTGTACTCAACATTCGATATAATTTTGTGTTTCGGATATATTCAGGTTTGTTTGCAGTCAACATTTTTGGCTGTATCTAAAAAGCAGTTTTTTGGACGATGCTAAGAAGAAAAACTTTTTTTGATACGGAGACTGGTTTTGGGAAAAAATTAAAATGTGAAAAATCGACGTAGATCTTGAGGTGATATACCTGGAACCCGATAAAGTTTGCGACCAAAAAATAAAAAATAACTTCTCAAAATGTTTCTTTTACAGTGAGTTCTTCTCTCGTCAAAGTGTTCAAAGTGGTTTGTTGTTTAAAAAAATCCCCGTATAAGCTACAAAGAAAAGAAGAAAACCTTTGTACAGGTTGATAAATCCCCCAAATTTCTACCAAACTGGTTCACTTTATTCGTTTTTTTCAAATATATTCTAATGTATTTGTTGTGCCGAACGCCTCGGGCACGACACTGCTTTCATACGAAAAGCAATCTAAAAAATCAGACAGTTTTTAATGTTTCTTTGTACTGAAAGCAGTGTCGTGCCCGAAGGGCTCGGCACAACAAATACACCAGGATATAAAGGATGTCGGTGTTGATCCAAGACCCTCAGTTTATAAGGGACGTAATATCGAAACGTTGCCTCACTTTCGCTTTGTTTAAAATGCACTATATTTTTTTCAGAATTCAAGTTAAGAGTAGAAAATCGCCAGTACCTCGCCTATTATGAATTTTGTACAAAAACACATTTTTTATGAACCTTTACCTCTAAATTCTGTGATTCTCTAATGTTTAGCTTTTTTGGAAACAACAGGTTTGGCATTATCTCAAAAACAGTTTATGGGACGACTCTGAAAAAATTAAGCCCGATATCTACGTATGAGAAAATATTTCAAGCAGAGCAACTTTTTCGGATTCGAAGACTGCTTTTGGAGAAACAAAATGTGAAACTACACGCAATTCCAAAAAATTACTCAAAAAAAATTGTTTTTGAAGAGTTTCTGATTGAAAAATCCCATGTCACAGTGGCTGTGTTTGTTTCGAAAAAAATCCCAAATGAGCCACAAAGGGAACAAGGAATGCTTTTACAGGCTTTTATAGACATCAATCTTCAAAGCTCGACAAATCCCGCAAATCTGCACCAAATTGGTCCATTAATTTTTGTTTCACTTAATTAAAATTTTTCAATTCTTTCTTCGTTTTCAATACGAAGTGAACCCCATTTAACACATGATAGCGAAATCCTTTAACTCTTTTCGCAGTGGTTAATATTTTTCACTGACAAGAAAAACATGGTTTTGTACTAAAATAATTGTTTTGTATGTTTTACGCTTTTCTGCCTGCTTCTACTTATATGAGTAAAGCAAGCTTTCTTTGAAAGCAAATTCCGAAGAAATTTTTCGGAGTATCAAAGAGCGTTTCTTGAGCCATAAATCAGAGGAAATTACGCTGGGACGTTAATAATACGGGTATTATCGGAAATTCTTGCATCGGAATGTAAATGCGAGTAAATAGGTTGTAATATACCTACATGCCCATGTTGTAACCCATTCACATGCTAAATAAATAATCGTACAACTTTTCAACCACTAGACAAAATGTTTTGTTCTTAGACATTCTGTTTGTGAAATTCGAATGAATTGTTTAAAACTCGCTCAAGTTGTCCGATTTTCAGATACTTCCACTTGTGTCGTCCATAATTTACAGGCTTTTAGTGCTTTTCAATCTGGAAAAGTCCAGACAATTTAACAGCGTATGAATGCATCATGTACCTCTTCATAATTCATGTTTTTTAAACACTAACTGTAAAAGATGCTGCAGGCGAAAATATTCGGTAACACGATCTGTTCCAAATTTAAGGTTTTGAGCACCTAAAACAACACTCGCCCGGCCAAACGGCCTCATAAATCAAAATTAATCCCTGCCCAGATATGTACCCCCAAAGCCGAGAATTCACACATACTTTTAAATATTTCACTTGGCTAAATGTAATAAAGTTCGGTTTACGTGACATTTGAGCGAAAATGGGTTTCAATGTGGAAGAGGAATCATTGTTAGGGCTTTTTGGAGGTTCCATTTTTCCGTTGCGGTTGAAAATAGATTTTTACCGCAACTCAACAAAGATTACATTTATATTGCATATACAGAGCGAACAATAAGATTAAAAAGCTTTTAAACGAAGTTATAAAAGTACAGTAGCATCATATAAGTGTGACTTAGTGACCTGAAATGTCTCTGGTATTTAATCTCGGCGGTTGATTGACTGTTTTGATGACTTTCCCGAAAGCCATAAAGTGCATTTACTTTCTTGATTAATAGAAATTATAATTCAGTAAATATTAACGGATCATAAAGTGGAAACGCACAACAGGGACGTAAATGTGTTATTTGTCTAGACAGTGCACATACATACATAGAAGTTTTACCAACTGCTGACTTCATAAATAATTGTAATGTGTGAAATTTTTATAGCTGCACTAAACAATCAAAGCAGACGACAATGTTCTTGGGCTGAAAATCGTAAAACGTAAAATGCCCGCTGGATTTTATGATCACTATGGGCATTAATTAATGTTTATCTTTGCTGCTTGTGTTTCACGTTTAGCTGCCGGCCAGTATTTCTTCGGACAAATCAGCCGCTCGTCATGCCTTCAACTTAAAAATAAATCTCAAGTAGATCATCAGAGAAAAAAAAAACATCACTTGAAAGCGTAATTAGTTGAGTGGTTCTCTAGATTTTATTGCCAAAAAACACAACTTTTAATTATTTCATAAATATCTATAGAGTGTTTCTTATTACATT